TTGTAATTTTGCCATAAGTTTAAAGCATCACAAAGTTAGCTTAGGTTTGCTTCTTGTACTGTACACAATATGTGTTTCTTTCAACCATATATTGAGTTATTTTGGTCTATGCCTGCTGGACAGTCCTTAGAAGAGATTTTACAGCAATTTAATTAACTGGGAACTTCTTACATTTTTATTATGAACGTAGGTTTTTTTACTCGTTCTTTTCCACTACCTACACCTACTTTGTGGTAGAAGAATGAGTATTTTTTGTTTGTTTTTTCAGTTTTGAATAATATTGTAGTTATTTGTACTGTACCTGCTATTTTACCATCAATTTTGACTATCCTTTCCAAGAGTTTTATTGTTCTACTGTATGTGTTTGTCACAACTTATTTAGTTAGATATTAACCCTGTGCATCATAAAGTAACTGAAATACCAACGATTAAGAGTGTACCTGAAAAGTGCCTCCCAGGAATTTTTATGCTCTCTACTCTATTATATGTTGTATACCTCTACTTTTTTGGTATCTTTACTGTTTTTGTTGTTTTTTTGCAGTGGCTGAATGTAGCCCAGTTTCATAAGATGAATTTTCTTTGTTCAAAAATCAGTACTATTGTCAAGCAAAACCCTGTAACATTTTATGTTAATACTGTACTAATTATAAGGTGAGCTCTCTCGTTCTTCAAGAGCTTGAAGTGGCACTAAAACAAGGATATTTGATTATATTTTTTAATACAATATAGTCCATTAAATATTTTTTGAGCTGCCTCCCTCAAAGTCGAAATGGAACCTCTTTACGCAACTCGAGTGTCCCCTGGGAGAGTCTGGGGCGGGTCCGGTTCTAACAATGTGTGTCTGTCGCCAGATGAGGGGTGCGCCGAGCGCGACGGGCTCCGTGAGGACTACAAGCCCATGGTCTGGTTCGCAAATCTCGCTTTGCAGCAGGCTTCGGGCCAGCTGGCCGGGGGGCCGTCGGGAGCAGGGGTGGCGCGAGGGCTGCACGCGGCGCCCGCCCCCGTCGGCCAGCCCGCCCCGGCCTTGCGGAAGGGCGTCGCCGCCCCCGCCCCCGCCTCGGCTGCCTCTGACGGTCCGAAGCGGGCCAAGTTCCCGTGCCCAGACTGCGGCAAGGGGTTTGGCTGGCGCGGCACGCTGTTCCGCCACCGCTACATGGAGTGTCAGCAGCCGGCCGCGCTGCCCTGCCCCAAGTGCCCGCAGCGCTTCAAGCACGAGTGGTACTTGCGGCAGCACCTCAGCCGCGCGCACCGGACCTGAGCGCACCGCCCAGGTGAGCCGGCTTCCTCACCCCCTCACCCTCATTCAATGGAGCTGGTCGAATCACTCTCCACAAGGCCCTCCTACCCCCC